AGGAGGTAATGCTTCTGTAGTGGATCGTGGGGCCATAGACAATACAAAACAATTCTCAATCTTACAGCAAGAGACTACACAACAGTAGATACACCCCCGCTCTACGAATTGTGTGACATACTGACACAATTAACTCCGAGTGAAACTCATGAAAGAGCACACAGAACGTTATGTGTGCTTAGAGGGGCGGAAGATGAGACTGTCTACTAGACGGTATACAGAACTGATATCAGTGAATCTTGGACGCAACCTGAGGGAGCTCGGGGCGCCGTGGATACCGGACACCAGCATAGGGCCTCGGCCAGTATTAATGCAGCACAGTGTATTAACCTGATTAGAATCAAACTCCAAGGCTTAGCATAAGCCACGTTGGGAGCGATAAAGTTTCCACCCCGTCTGTGCACGCGTGTGGTGCCGATTTCGAGTCGTACGCAGGCACAGAATCACGCGTCACAACATAGGAAAACCTAAGAACACCGTATGCCACTAAATGTAATGGATTGCGAGGAGTCAAACTTCAACGTAACGGGGACTAGACTCAGATCGTTGGAGTACACACCGAGCTCTTCATAACCAAACAATAATGGGTTACCCATTCTTCTGCATTCCGTGACAAATAACCTCTCCAAAACTGAGCCTCGCACAAGGGATACTTCCCTCCTCGTGTGTAGTAGCATCATGTGCAATCGGCTAGTAGCCTACGGAGATCACCAACCTCAATCCCTGCATGGTCACCATCAGTGTCGAACCGTCATAGGTCTCCAGTGGAGTAGATCCATTCACGAACGCTAGAGTCCAGGATCAGACTATCCGCAGTGCGTTTTCCCACTATATCACGAAGAACATAAAGGGCTGTATAGTCAAATCGAGAAGGGAGGCAATCGACGGAAGCACTACTGCTATTGAAAGCACACAACACATGGAACAGTACCCAGGCAGACTTAACCAAAGATAATGGGATATAACCAATAGTCACATAAATGATACTCCTTCTCAATTCACTCGTTGGAGGTAGGTGATGACACATGCGTAGTGGCCAACAGCTCCACACTATCATTGTCTGGGTCGTGGTATACGTAACGAGTTCTCTCCGGCGCACGGCCACCATTTCTTGCATACGCCCGGAGGAGCTTCCTGTGGTGCGGCGGACAACAGCATCGACGAATTTGCTTCCACGCATGGACCTGACATGATGCGAAATTCCAACCCGAGAATTCAGCGAGCCTTGCGAAGGAGTTGCCTCAGGCTACTATTATGACAACAGACGATAGTTCACAGCCCACGGACTCTACTGCCAGCCTTGTCTCCCACTACTTACCGGTATCCAGCTCACGGCTGTTATAACTGCCACCTTCCACAAGAAATCAATGGAGAAAATGGTATCCAGGTCGAAGTTGGAGCGCAGTATGAATATGGAGTATACATATATCACGATGCTCAACAGCTCCGCTACTATCATTAGAGGATGCCAATTCGGATGGACCTACCAAACATATGTCGCGCTACAAACTTGGGAAACTTTCGTCGCAATACTGACCTCCGAAGCAACATTGAGCAGCTCGCTGATGACCAGTGACGTGAAAGCAACGGCAACAAGCGAGCTTGTTATGAGCTCGTTACCAAAGAGGATAACAGTTAGCACCATGATAGCAGAACCCTGATAAACGGACTTCCATACCCAACCAAGAAAAGCTTTGAGAGACATCTGCCGGCCACGACGGCTGATAGCATAGAGCTCCGGGTACTGGTACACGACCGTGTCTTCGAGGTCAGTATAGAGGCACAGTGAGAACACGGGAGCAGTGGTGTAGTATCTAACACGATATAATCACCGAGATTGGTGACGCCAATGCTATCCCTCCCC